AGGTGTGCTCTGGGGTAGAGGGTGTGCTTAGCCTGCCAGACTATTTTGGTTTGGGCCTATGTTTCAAAGTTTAATGGACAGATGAAGAATAGGCCTATCTTCCCTTGTTCCTCACCTTAGGGAGAAAGCATTGTATCTTCTCCATTCATATAAGGCGCTTTTGCTGGAAGTATGGAGTACATGGCTTACCTGTTGAGAAGGTTCACACTCTTAAAGTGGTGACAGGGCTGGGGATTTAGCTCAGTGGTTTTCTGCCTACCTGGCAAGTACAAGGTCCCGAGTTCGATCCCCGGTACCAAAAAAAAGAAAAAGTGGTGAGAATATTTGCCAGAATGATGTATTGATGTCCCCTTCCCAGTACTGGGGATCAAACTCAGGACCTTGTGCTTGCCAGGCAGGCGAGGCTCTACTGAGCTACATCCCTGGCCCTGTATCGGTGCTTTAAATATAATGAAGAACCAATTTAAAATGGCCTTAAACAATAAGGAAAATTATTATTTTACGAAGCAAGGAATTCAGGCTCAGAGAATTACAGAACTGTTGAATGCAGCAGCTCAGTGCTATCATAGAGATCCAGCTTCCTTTGTCTCTTCTCAGTCGCCTCATCACACCCCCGTTTTATATCTAAGCTTTCTTTTTTTTTTGTACCAGGGATTGAACTCGGGTCCTTGCACTTGCGAGGCAGGTGGCAGAACCACTGAGCTAAATCCCTGGCCCTGTATCTAAGCTTCCTACCTTTGCAGGGGCAACCTGGCTGCTGTCCTGAGCAGCCCATCTGGACCCGAAAATGCCCAACTGAAGAGAAACCTTTCCTTGGGAGCCTCATGTCTTTTCTTACATCTCATTGGCCTAGGACTATATTGCAAGCCCAAATCAACCAATCACAGGCAAAAGAAATAGGAATTCCATGTATATCACTTACTTGAAGTCAGATGTATACCTTCCTACAGGGGAAGCAAATGGGAATGCTGCTAATAGAGAGGGGATAAATGGAAGCTAAGCAGGCAACTTACAGTTTCTCTGCTACAGGGTGCAACATTGTGACAATCAAAAATACTAGGCCAAATCTTGAAATTGCTGCTCTTGAGCCACTGACATAACATTCATTTCATATGGTTCAACCTAATAATTTCCAATGCCATTTAGACAGATTGGCCTGAAGGGTGGGGAGAAAATAATATTGGCCTGGAGTTTTAGTTCAATCATGTAATATAGCTCATTAAGTGTGAGTCACTTAAAATGATTGATACAAGTAAATCAGACTCCAGTGAGCAAGAGGAATTTACAGAATACAAGATCTTATCTGATTTCCTTATCTATTTCTTGGCACATCTCAAATGTTAGAAAATATTTCCCCAGTTCCAAGGCCCCAAAATTTGTCCTCATACACATGCTGATGAAGCCTGCATTTTACTTACACAGATTTAACAGTCTGTTGCATTTTAATTTTGACCAATTAAATCACAGAACGCATTATTCTGTTTTCATTAAGAAACATTTAAAGATTTCAAAGAGAAAGTGAAAGATTTCAAGAGAAAGTACCTCCCATTTTAGGAATCTTTTAATTGTGGCAGACTTTGAGAAATCTAAAATATATTAGTATACAGTGATGACAGACACTTTGCAGGCTACACTGTCTTCGTGTTGTACAGATTGATGCACAGAGCATATTTTTTTTCTTTTTTGTTTTTTTTTAAATCCAGGGCCTTGTGCATAATAGGCAAACACCCTACCACTTTGGAAAATGATAACCATTTTCTTTTTTAAGTTTATAGTTTTATTTACTTTAAAGTAGGTGTTATATTAACATAGCATAAAATTAAAAACTACAAATATTATAGTGAAGTCTTCCTCCACAGCTATTCCTCATTCATTCTATTTTTCCAGGAAAATTAATACTAACGGAATAATTTTATGTCAACTCCACCTTTCCATACAAATGGCAGCACACTACACAATACAGTGTTCTGCTCTTTTGCTGTTGTTGTTTTATTTACCTAATAGGTTACTTTGGAGTCCATTCCAAATTGGTAAATAGTGAGCATCCTCATTTATTTTTTCTGGCTGCATAATATTCCAGCCAGTGGAGGTATGATATTTCTTTTTTTTTCTTTAAATTCTTTCATTGGTACATTTTAGGTATACAATACATTTACATTTATCATTGGGTGCTTGTAACTGTACATGATGTATCTTGGTTCTTATTTTTTCCCCATTCCCTGTGCGCTCTTCACCCCTTCCACCCAGGTACGATCTTTCTTTAACCAGTCTCCAACTGATGGATATTTAGATTGTTTTCAACTTTCACTATTATTAACATGCTGTAAAGAATAAGCTTATGCATATATTATTTTGTACATATGCAAGTAAGCCTCTAGAGAAGGATTGCTGCATCGAAGGACTCCCCCAGCTGCCTGTACTGGGCATTGAATACAAGGTCTTGTGCATGCTATAGAAGTGCTCTCCCACTGAGCCACATTCCTGCCCTTCCTATTTTATTTTGAGATGGGGTCTTGTTCATGAAGTTCCCCAGGCTGGTCTTGAACTGCAATCGTCATACCTCAGCCTCCTGAGTAGCTGGGAATACAGGTATGTGCCATTGTACCTCTTTTCTTTTTTCTTTTCTTTTCTTCCTTTCCCACTCCTCCCCTCCCCTCCCCTCTTTTCCTTCTCTTTCTTTCCCTCCCCTCCCCTTCCCTTCTTTTTCTTCTGTGCTGGAGATCAAACCCAGGACCTCACCCATGCTAGGCAAGTGCTCTAGGCTGAGCCCCAAGCCCAGATTCATGCTGGCATAACCTTGATAGACAATGCCAACTTGCCCTGCAGAGAGCTGTAGACTTGCACATGTTCAGCGCAGGGCAGGAGAGCACTAGGTGATTTCCCCACTGTGGCAGTTTTCTAGAAGAGAGGCTGTCAAGTTGCCCTTGGCTTCCATCTGGGGGTGTGGGCAGGACCTGAAAAGGATCTTGCTCCCATTTTTAATGGTACTGAGAAATGCTCATGATATGGTATTAAGGTGACAAAAGAGAGGATACAAATCCAAACTGTTTAAAAATTTTGAGTGTGCAGAGAAACTAATGGACTGGCATAATGAAACACTGACCATATTTAAAGGCTTATACTCTTCTATAATTAGCTGTGGTTTTGATTACAACCAGAAAACAAGACAGAAGGAGCTGCTGTCACCATCCTTGGTTAGAAATCTCATTCTGGCAGACAGCTTGGCAAGGCTCTTGGGTTAAGCCCCCTGTGAAGGGGCCTCTGTGGGGCCTGGGGTCAGGCTGAGCTCCCACTGCTCCCTCAGTGTCTCCTTTACATGGCCTGAAGGACCCCAAGGGGCTGGAGCGGCACCACTGCCCCTCTGCCTAAGATTGCCACAGGAATGCCTTATAAAATTACTCTGGTTTATCAATTTTACAATTTTTATGATGAGGTTTCATCTTGCTTTTCCACTATGGTTTGTTCCTCACTAAGATCTTTACAAATATTCAGAGGACTAGAGGTGTGCTCTGGGGTAGAGGGTGTGCTTAGCCTGCTGGACATTTTAGTTTTCACCCTACCCCCCCCCCCCGCACTGAAAAAGAAATGCAGATGGCTGTGTGGTTCATACCAGTGCTCCCTGATACTATGGAGCCTGAGGCAGGAGCATCCTTTGAGTCCAGAAGTTCAAGACCAGCCTGGGCAATATAGTGAGACTCTCCAAAAAACCAAAACCAATAAACAGAAAAACCCTGAACACCTAAAGACCCCTCTATCCAGAAAAAGCCCTGCTCTTTTGCTAGAAGTCTTTGGTCCTCAGAGCATTTCTCCAGGGAGGTGTCTAGAGATCCCCTGCCCCTGGCTGGTCCTGCACACACTCAGCATAAACTGATAGCTGTGGCAGTTGCAATTTTCTCCCTACACCCGAGTCCTTTTGTTGACTTGCTCATATTTGGAAAAAGGTAATTTGAGAGTGCTGCTGAATTTAGATGCATTTGGCTAATTTGTTTTTATTATGCATAGAAATATTGGTATAAAAAGGTGTTTCAATTATTTTCTAAGGGAAGGACCTATGTATTCTCTGCAGCCACAAAGCTTTTAAATGGAGTTATTTTTCTCGGCCTATAATCGGTCTCCCTTTTAAGTACCCCAGCAGAAAAGTAAGTTTACTGCTCGAAGCACAATAGGCCTCTTCACTTTTTAGGTTTGGGAGACCTGGGTGACCTAGGAAAGTTAATTAGAAGGTTAACAAAGACGAAGACAGAGTCGAATCCATCGCCTCTCCTTCAGCCAAAGATGCCATCCATTAATTAGGGAAATCTTTACGGTGGCCTTTATAGACTCCATAGAAAATCTGTCCGTGGCGGTCCACAGTTTTGATCAGATTTTCCTCTCCCCCATAATGCTACCCTTAATGGTACGAAAAGCCGAGGGCTGGGGTGGGAGAGGGGAGCGGGGAGGGGTGGGAAGGGTGAGCTCAGCGCCAGTACAGTTAACCAGTCCCGGAGGTGCGGGCTTTGATTCTCAGGCTGCCCGCGTGCTTGGGCCATGATGTAATCCCCATTGAGCAGAGCGGGCGGCGCGGGCGGCGCAGCCACCGCCTGGCAGCCGCGGGAGGCCGGAGTTAACAGCGTCCCCCGAGCAGCCTGCGCCCGGGTCCGGCCGCGTCCCCCAGGCTCTTTCGGCGTTGGGTGGCGCGGGCCTGGGGTGAGGCCCGGCCCTCGCTGCTGCCCTCAGATCTCACGGCTCTGTCGCTCCCCTTGGGTCTTGGACTCCACAGCCGGGCTCGGGGCGGGGCGAAGCCAGCCGGACAGGGCTGGGCCGGTGGGGAAGCTGGTGCGCTGGTGCGCGGCCGGTTGGGTTGCGTAGACGCAGACAGGTCTGAACCTAGAATTTCCAATTTAGGGCTCCAGTTGCATAGTATGTCCATAGGGATGGTGTTAATTGTAAGTATGGAATGCTTGTATTTTTACAATGTGGATTTTCTTTTAACCCTTTAAAAACATCGTAAGGTGCATTCATAATGCCATGCAGCTATTACCACCATTGTAGCATTTTTTCATCTCTCCGAATGACAACTGCATAGGGTGCACTGTGGAACTTATTTTTGAAACTACATCGCAGGATTGGTTCCAAAGTTTTTCAAATTATCAGGGAATTCTATTTAAGGAATTTTCATCTTTTAACGGGTTGGGAGATTCGCACGCAGTATTCTCTCCGTGACCAGTGCCGGAACACTGTGTCGTGGCCCTTATTTACCATGTAAAAATGCCAACGTGCTTTGCCTCCCTGACTGCTCAGAGTGCTACTCGCTGGAGTGCATTGCCATTTTCATTTGACTTCTTTCCCCTCCCTGGCAGAGTGGGAAGAGAAGCTGTCCCCCAGAGAGGAGGCAAATGTCATCTCAGCTCTTAGTGGCACGGAAGAAAGGACCAGACCAGATCAGGCCTTAGTCTCTTTCTGCTTATCTCCCAGCATCCTCCTAGCCCTTTTTCCCCTTCCTCTGCAGGAGGCCCAAAGCTCCAACCAGGGCAGAACATTGGGTGGCAACCACCACGGAAGCCCTGCAGCAGCCCCTGCAGTCAACTGTCTCTCCTTTCCCGGTTGTGGGCACAGCACATGAGGAACAGTAAGTGCACCCAAGTTTCCAGAAGAGAAGCAGTCACTGTCAAAAATCAGCTAAATGATTGTCAGTCCAGTACTTGACTATATAAATTATGAAACATAGCTCTATGTGTCAACATCACCATTCCCATATCCAAAGAAACTGTTTTCTCCCCAAAGCGCTGTGCTTATGACATCACAGTTTTAGTATGTGCATACTCAGCACCTCTTGTTAAATTGCTCAATATGCCTAAGCATTAAAGTTAGGAGTATTTGGAGGCCTCAGTCAATTGAGCTAGGAGACACCCCCTCCCTTTTTAAACAGGCCCACAGGACTGAGGTTTTATTTGAACAGAGACTGTGCTGAAGCACAGAGAGCTCAGCGCACAACCAGGGGCCCTCCTAGACCAGCCCAGGAGTCTCTACTTCCTTTGTGTAGATACTGAGCGTGGAACACAGGACCTCACGCACGCTGAACACACACTCGACCCCTGAGCTACATCCCCAGCAGGGCGGGACTGTTGGAGGTGGCTCTAGGGCTGAGTCACATGAAATGCCTCTGTGTGGCTTCCCTGCTGCACTAACCTTGCTTGCTGAGGTCCCACATCTGCCCCCACCCTGCTGCATCTTAGAATCACCTAAGGGCCTTTTAAAACTCCCAGGATTTGAACTACATCTTGGACCTATTCCATAAGAATTTCTTGGGTGTGGGGCTGGAGCATGATGGAATCCCAGAGGATTCCAGTTTGCACTCATAAAGCTAAAGCACATATAGGATTGAAAGCTGTGGAGGTTAATTTTATGTGTCAGCTTCACTTGGCCCAGATATTCAGTCAAAATATGACTCTTGTGTGTCCCTGTGAGGATGTTTCTGTACGAGATTAGTGTTTGAATCAGTGGACCAGTTCAGCAGATTGCCCTCACACCTGGGGGTGGGCCTTACCCAAGCAGTTGAAGGCTGAAAGGAACAAAGAAGCTGACTGACCGCCCTTGAATAAGAGACTCCTTCTGCCTGACTGCCTTTGACCTGGGACATTTTTTTCCCCAGCCTTTGGATTTAAACTAAAACCTCAGCGCTTCCTGAGTCCTCAGTCTGCTGGCTTCCAGACTGGAGGTCGCCCACCAGCTCATCTGGGTCCAGGTTGCCCACTGCAGATCTTGGCCCTTGTCAGCCTTCAAAACTTTGTGACTCAATTTGTGTTGTGCGCCACCCCCACCCCCCCGCCCCCAACATCCAGATTTTGGTGTGGTGGAATAGAGTGCAGTTGTAACATATACCTAAAAATGTAGAGGCATCTTTGGGACTGGTAAAGGGTAGATACTAGAAGAGTTTTAAAATGCATTCTAGACAAAGTCTAGATTGCTGTGATGGAACTGTTGGTAGAATTGTGGGCTTTAAAGAAAGTTCTGGTGAAGATTCCAAAGAGGAAGGGTAGAAAGAAAGCCTCCATCTTCTCAGAGAATACAAAAATTACAACGGACAAGGATGTTGGCAGAAACATGGGCAGTAAAGGCCATTACAGTGAGAGGCCTTGGGCACAGGTTGTTGGAAAGCAGGTGAAAGAGAGTCCTTGTTCTAAAGTGGCAATGAGCTTGACTGAACTGTGTTCTCATGTTTTGTGGAAAATAGAACTTGCAAGCAATGAAATGGGATATTTAGCAGAGGAGATTTCTAAGCAAAGTGTTGAAGATGAGGATTGGGTCCTCCATACTGCTTATAATAAGATGACAGGAGAGAGATAAATTGAAGAAGAAATTAAGTAAAAAGGAACCAAGTTGAAGATCTGAAAGAACCTCAGTCTATCCCTATTGCAAAAATGGGACAAGGAAGCTCGTTCTGAGAAGCTTCCCTACATGTGGCTAAGTGGCCATTCACTAAGGAGAGTAATGTGGGTGTGTGGCAGGGATCTATCTAGTCAGCCATCTCAGCAGTAGAGACGGGATGACAGCAGCAAAAACATGGCCAGGTGGGGAGAAGTGGGCAGATGAAGGAAGGCTGTGAGCGTGTGAATTATCACTCAAGCCTGAAGAATAACCTGAAGCCAGTTCAGAGGTCCCTAGGGCTCACACTGCCGTCACAAACCTAGAGGCAGCAGTGTGCAGCAGGGGGCCCTGGGAGACCGTCCCAGAGACGCAAGGCTGTTCTCAAGCCTTCCAGCTGCTGGGATTTGCCTTGGTGGGGAGCACTCATTCCCTTTCCTTCTTTTCTGTTTCTCCCTGGGGACAGGGACATGTGTCTACCCTGAGCCTGTACCACGGCTGCACTTTGGGAGCACACCATTTGATGGCACAGGTTTACAACTGGAGAGGAATTTGCCTCAGGGTGAATTGTATTTTGAGTTTCATCTGCAACTGACTTAGATGATAAGGTGAGACTTGGGATTTTAAACTTTAGAGTTGATGCCGGAATGAGTTAAGATTTGGGGACTTTGGGGATGGAATATATGTATTCATAAGCAGGACATGCATTTGGTGAGTGCAGGGCAAGAATGTTGTGGACTACAAGTTCATGTCTGCTCAAGATTCACACTGGAGCCATGGATTTCAAGTTTGAGTACAGCCTGGGTAACTTAGTGACACAGCAAGGGCCTGTCTAAAAATAAAAAATACAAAGGTCCTGGGGATATAACTCAGCACAGAGGCCCTGGGTTCAATCCCCGGTACTGGGAGTGGGGAGAAGTGACTGACTGGATGTGGAGGTTAGTTCTGTGAAGAGGTAAGAAAGGTCAAATAAGGTCTAAGTCAGGGCTTTGGTCCAATAAAGCTGGTGCCCTTAAAAGAAGGAAGGCTACTGAATACTCATATTCTCTCTCTCTCTCTCTCTCTCTCTCTCTCTCTTTCCCTCCTTCTGTCTCTCTCCCTCTCTCTTCCCCCTTCTCCTTCTTCCTGTCTCTGCCAGGGATGTTTTCACTAGACACTGACTCCACTGCCGCTTTGATATTGTATATCTGAATCTCCAGAGCTGTGAAAAACTTTCTGTGGTTTAAGCCACCTCATCTATGGCATTCAATATGACACCCCAAGTGGACTAATACAACACTTCACCTTGATGGGCTGGACCAGCTTCCCTGTGGGATACATTACCCTGCACCCCCTCTTCCTTGGACAGGGCTGGGCACCTACCCAAGGGGTTCCCATCATGGGCCCCTGAAACAGTTCTTCCATTAAACCCACAAGTAGAGCTTCCTTTTAGGCTTCTTTTCAATTGTATATTCTCCAGGAATATGGCATGCTAGGGTGATAACTGTAATACCTGCCTGAGAAGCTGATTTTGACAATCATTTTGATGCCAGAGGCACCTTCCAAAAAGGACAGGCCTGGAAGGGCTGAAGCAGGACCTCTCAGAAGCAAAGGAATCCCCATAGCAATGGCAAAAAAGGAGGTTGGAGCCCTGGGGAAACTGAGGCATGCAAGACTAACTTGGCTGGCACTGCAATTTTCCCCAGGACTTGTGATCATGAAAACCTCCCTCCTGTTCCATGCAAATCATCCTGGGGGTGCCCTGTCATAACTGTCCTCACTGGGGCAAGCACACGTGACTGTTAGGGTAAATTATCCTTTCAGACTTACTTAGGTATTGGGGAGGGTGATGGTTTGGGTGGATACAGAGGCAGACAGGGAGTTTCTGGAAGCCACAGTGATTCCCTTCCTTCCTCTGTTGCTGTCTGTCTCTGGCCCTGCAGCTTCTCATGTTTGTTCACCTGGGCAGGTGTGCCCAGCCCTCTGCCCAGCTCTCAGCTCTACAAGGCAGGGATAGGGCTGGTGGGGGGCTTTGCATCATCAAACATCTACCAATGAAACTCATGCTGAAAATTCCTACTCTCATTTCAATAAATGCCAAAACCCCCCACCAAAACCCAAAAAACCCAAAACAAAACCCAAGAAAAGATTTTTTTTGTTTCAAATCCTAAATCATTAGATTCAAATTTGGATTACTGAGTACATTAGGGAGTGAAATGTTCTGACTCATAATGTTTCCTGATAAAATCTTCATGTAAACCAGAAAATGTCTGAGAAACAAACTTGCATCAAAAATGTTTTGTTTTTTTGGTACTGGGGATCAAACTCGGGACCTTGCGCTTGTGAGGCAGGCAACGGAACCACTGAGCTAAATCCCTGGCCCATCAAAAATGTTTTGTAAATGTTTACTTTCTTCTCTTTGTAAATGTAGTGACAATATTTACATTTTCCTGGTGATATGTAAGTCCCAAGTTTAAATGAGTTCTGCTGGGCAAGGTGGCACATACCGATAATTCCAGCACATTAGGAGGCTGAGGCAGGAGGACTGCAAGTTCAAGCCCAGCCTGGGCAACTTAGTGACTTAGTGCAGTCCTGTCTCAAAATAAAAAATAAGGCCCAGGGATTTATCTCAGTGGTGCCACCGCCTGCCTCAAAGGCTCAAGGTTCTGAGTTCCATCCGTGGTACCAAAAAAAAAAAAAAAAAAGTAACAACTTATGTGTATGATGAAGCATTTTGGCAATGAGTCTGTCAAGTATATTCTAAAAACTTCTTTTCAACAATATAACAATTCTATTCTTTTCAAATCTCTGGCCATTCAGCCAACCTTTGGCTGCTGCCCATGAATCAGTATA